CCCAATGAGTCTGAGAGGTTACCTGTGGTGTTCCTGGTGCTGTTCTGGTCTGCTGACATCCCACCTGCGAGAGAGAAGAAGGGCCCTGAGACAGTGGCCAAGAGCCCATGTAGGACAAGCCCATGTAGGATGTCCCACGTAGGACAGCATGTACCATGGGTCCTTCGTGCCCACTCCATATGGGATGGAGTGCTCGGGAGCCTCAACCAGAGCCCTGCTCAGAGGAGAGGACATGGGGTAGCGCAGATTTGGGTACAAACCCTCCTATTTCCATCCCATCTCCTTGATCTTCTCTAAGTTGCTTTCTGGTTGACATCCCAGTGAAACCTGCCTTTACTATTAATATCCCCATAGGACAGCCTGTCTCAGAAAGGGTCCAGACAGGCTCACACCTCTTTATTTACACTTTCTGTTTTCTGAATCAACCAGAAACACTTTCCCTGCCGGGGATTCCCTGGGCTTGGAGCCCTGTGATGGCCAGGGAGGTTCTCAGACCCCGGGACCATGCAGCCCTGCGGAACAAGGGCTGGATGGAGCTGTGGGACCTGCGATGCAGTGCAGGAAGCAGGGTGAGGTGGGGACCCCCCAGCACCCACGGGTGCCCCTGCCCGCAGCTCCAGTGCCCCTGTGCCTCGGTTCCTCTTGCTGCAGCTGGGCAGGAAGCACCAGCCCTGTTTACCGCATCGCTTCAGTGCTCAGCTCCATCTGCTTGACGAATATTCACCAGACCCCACCGTGGGGAAGCTGGCACGGAGGCGGGGGCTGCACCACCTCCCAGCATGTTGAGGCAGCTGCAAAACTCCACCCAGAAGAAGAAGAAGAAGAAGAAGAAGGAAAGTTCAATTTCTGAGCCTAAGCTTTGCCCTGAGCCTTGCCAACCTGCTGCAGACCTTCCTGCCCTGAACAGCAGCCTGGCAGAGACCTCCTGGCTCAGCTGTGAGCGCCCCTCCTTGCCCCAGAGCCTCTTCCAGGTCTGTCCTGCTCTGTTCACCTCCAGCACCTACCTCTCTGCCGGAAAACTCTCCCCTCCAGCCTCACTTCATTTATTTCTGAGATGGGGAGATGCGTCTTGTCTGGGCTGTGCGTTGGGTGCATGTCCCTGCCACCTGCGTTCCTGCCAGGACACATGGCTTTGCTCTCCATGGTTTGCTGGTGTTTCTAACTGAAGACCAGGCTGGTCCCTTGCCCTGAAGGCCCTCATACCCCTCAAAGCCAAGATTTCCATTGCAGCTACGTGTGGGCTGAGCTTCCCCTGTCTGCCCTTGAAGCCACCATGAGAGCCAGGATGAAAACCTGTGATCCTGAATCTGTGCTGGACTTGGGTGGCCACCCAACAGAAACCCTTTAAATGCCCTTTCTCCTGAGGGCACAAGTTTCCCCAGCCGACGGTGGGATCTGCTGCAGGTTTTCATGGGTGTCCCTGCACCAAGCAAGAAGGGTTGGAAGGGGACAGGAGCTGTGTCCTGGGGTTAGCTGCTGCTTCTCCGTGGGGATGCAAAGGGGAAGCACACAGAGATGTTCACATAGGACCCACAAATCACCCCCAAAAGCCTTTTTCTTTTCATTTCTCTGCTGCTCCTGGGCACTCAACTGCATGGAGCAAAGGGATCTGGCTTGGCCATGGCCTCAGCAATGTGCCGGCCCCATCTTCAGGCCTCCGAGAGCAATAAATGGTAAACCAATCCACAACCCTTCTTTCCTGCCACCTGCAACCACAGCCAGGCAGGCTCTGCACCCGCTCGGCACCGGGCTTCTGCCAAAGCCAGCCAGCTGCCCGAGAAAGCGTCCCAGCTCTGCATCCCTCCCTGCACCCCAACGGGAAGCAAAACCCGAAACCTGAGGCAGGCATCGAGCCCCGAGCCCCTGCGGGTCCGCCCTGGCTCTGCTGCACCCAGGGCTGGCTTCCTGCACAAAGCAGGGCTCAGAGGGGCGATGGCAAAGTTTAACGCCTTTAGAGCCAGACCTGAGTGAAGTCCCTCGTTGTGCTAAGCAAGGGACGCATGCCGGCGCATCGCCTGGGTGCAGGTTTCTTCGCTCTGAAATGCAAAGCCCATGTTGGACGCCTACCTGTGACCAGAGCCATCAGCCAGAGGTTTGCCTGGAGCACCCAGAGCCTCGTGCAAAGATCAGCCATCTTTCACTGCCAATGGCAGGGATACATCCAGTCACCGGTTCCTTGCTTCTGCAAAACACAGCGGCCGCTCCGACCAGCTTGGCCTCCGTACCTAAAAATGGCAAAGCTGCCGCTGCGCGAGACAGCCCCTTTCCTGCTCATGTAAATCCTCCTCGGTGGGGACTTTCCCCTTGGGGCTGGTTTTGAATGCAGCGCAGACGCTGGGGCGGCTGGTGCCTGCGCCCTGGGCACCGTCCAGCCTCGTATCCCTGGGCTGTGCTCGTCATGGTGGCGTTATTTGATGGAGGTGACCACGACTGGTGTGAGTCGGCACCAGAACTGGAGATGAGCCCATCGGCGAAGCACTCGGTGGTGCAAAACCTGGGCTGAGCGCAGGGGATGTGCTCAGGGAGCGGGATGGGACCACTGGCACTGCTGCATCCCTGGGAGGTAGAGGATGGAGGTGACCTCCAGGGTCGTACCCCAGCTCCACAGCAGCGTGGGCAGATCCCCCCCAGTTTAACCCTGCAGGTGATGGGCAGGTGTTGGTGCTGGCCCAGTTGCAAGAGTCAGAGCAGGAACGGTGTGGGAAGAGGGGATGTTTGTGGGGTTTCTCCTTCACCCTGCTCATTGTGGGGTGCAGAGGGATTGGTCCCCCAGCTCCTGTACCCAGCATCCCAGAGAGTCCCCACAGCCACCCTTCCAGGGAAGGGTGGAATCTAGAAGAGAGATGGCCAAAACAAGGTCTCACTTCCCTTGGTGCCAGCCGTGCCATGACTGAGATCCTTCTCCGTGAGTCCTTTGGAGACAACCACTCCCTGGGGAAGCACAACATGGCACCCCAAGGTGAGCTCTCTCCCCCTTTGCTCTGACACAGATATACGGTTTCCCTCCATGCCATGTCCTCCGGCTGCTGTGCGTTACCAGCTGTGGGTGAGCACTGAACTGTAACTCCATGTGAAAAACACCTTTTGGGTACTTTTGCCAGCCGTGTTGGTCCCCAGAGCCTGGGGCCTCCCCAAATCTTTGCCTTCCACAGGTTTGGTGGGTTTTTTGCCGGTTCTGAGCATCCGGTAGCTGCTGGGAACTGGCCTGAGCCTCACCTTGTATGTGAGGGGACATGACTCAAGAAAGAGAAATAAAGGTTTCCAGAGAAATACTGGCCCCAGGAGAGAAAGAAAGATGATGGGAGAAATATCTTGGTAGAGCAGGCAGGTCATGCCACGCGCAGTGCTGTACATGGGGGCCGTACTGCTGAGTCCCTGCTGCCGTCACCTCTGGTCTTGCTGGAAAAGCACAGCCCGGCCATGACATCCCGGCAAAGCAAAAGTGGTGGGGGATGCCTGTGTGCTCGGCAGGCAAGGGAAGGATTTTTATCGAGCCCTGGGGTTGGAGATGGGAGCGGTGATGAGCGAGGCAGGGATGCTGGAGGTGCCTGGGAAGGCCCCGTAAGGCAAAACCAGGAGCGGGGCACAAACTAAAGAGGGTTTGCAGTGATGGTGGCCAAATTGCCCCGCGGTGCTGCCTGCAGGCTTCTTGGCACCCTTGAACAGGCACAGACCTGGTCCAGAGGGGCTCGGTCTCCCCTCGAAGTCCCCTGTGGTTGCAGTACCCGGTGGCAGGGTAGGGAGTGGTAGGGAGACCTGATGGTTTCGCAGGGAGGGTCCCACGGCCCCATGTCTCTTCCCCTGGGCCACCCTGGCTCCCCAGCCCACAGCCCATGGCCAGACCGTGCCCCGCGGGCAGAGCAGAGCTGCTGCAGGCAGCTGCACCCTTCCCAACCCATTCCTATTCATCAGGGCTTGGGTTTCACCGCTGTCCTTTCCCTCGCCGCAGGAGGACACGGATGGTGAGTTGTGCCACCTCCTCCCTCCAGCTCCACGCCTGCATGGTACCGCGATGCTCACCTTGAATTACGCCAGCCCTGGGACGAGCTGTTCCAGCCAGAGCGAAAACACGGCAGCGAGGCCGTGCCGTGGCCCTCGGGGACGTCAGAGGGTCCTGGAGGCAGCTCCTCCTCCAGCCATACATTGACGCAGAAACCTGCTTCGCCCACCGCTGCCTTCTCCCCGTGATGCTGAACTGCTCCCGCGTGGCTGGTGGGGCAGGTTTGGCCCCACAGACCCTGGCCTGGAGCAGCTTGGGGAGGTCTGCACCTCCTCCAAGCCCACCTCTCTCCTTGGTTGGTCCTGCAGCAGCATCTCCTATAGCTCTTAGAGTCAGGGCTCGTTGCTGTGAGGAACCAAAGGTTCCAGGGGACTTGTTCATGAGCAGAGCAGAAGCTCTAGGGTCTGGGCTGGGTTGGAGGTACCAGAGGGAGGCAGCCCAGGGGGTATTTTGTGCAGGATGGGACCACCAGTTTCTGCTGAGGGTGGCAGGTCCAGGTTCCCCATATCTGCCCTGGAACAAAGGGAGGGGGCATTTACCCCTCCCAGGGGCAGGGAAAACATTTTCCCCCCTCTAACACATACCAACGCATCTGGTATCGTAATAATAGACCATTTACAGTTTATTTTAAGAAATGTACAAAGAAAAATGGCTTTAGCTCACACAAATCCTGCTCTTTGGCATTTTTCCCATCCCTGACGACACATACGTACAAGCAGCATTGATTGTGAACCACAATCCGGGCTGGAAACTGCCGTGCCATGGATGCTTCCTACACAAACGTCATTTAAAGCAGCTCAGGCTCCTGTTCCAGGGAGCATCACCCTATGCAACATGGAAATGAAAGCACAGCGCTATGGGATGAGCAGAGCGACCCCGGCTCTGCCTCCTGGCCGACAGCACACGGATGCAAGCAAGCTCAGCACCGCTCCTGGCCAGCCTGAACATGGGGCATCCGTAACGGCTCAGCGCCAAAGTCAGCCCAAGAAAAAAAAAATAATTATAATAATAATACAAAAAGACAGACCCTTTGGCTTTAAGAAGCAGCCCTTGTTTTAACTGGAAGAGATTTTGGTTCATGTTTGTTTTGATCTCAAGAGTTGTTTTTTTTTTTTCCTTTTGAAGGCAGAAGGCAGTCCAGAGGTGAACTCGGGGCCTTTTGCACAGTTTTCTTGATTTACTTTCCTTTTGCCCCCCTGTGTAAAGAGCAGCAAAACCCTTCCCCCTTTGGGAAAATGCTCCTCTGCCGTGAGGTTTCCTGGTGAGGACCTGCCTGGCCTCACCAGGGTCTGAAGAGACCCCAGCACGTGCCAATGGGTCGTCACCGGAGCCAGGGGAAGGATGCTCTGCCTGAGTATTTGGGGATTTACACCCCGGTGGGAGCATTCATTGCATTAAGGCCCCCGGCGCTCGGTGGGATGCGAGGGACCCGTTGAAGCAGCTCGTTGCACGGACCGTTCAGACATCTGCTCCCATCCCCGGGGATGCGCCTCGTTAGTTAACGCTAACCACGAGCGCTCCTCTTGCTGTGGGGCTTGAAGAAACCCTGGAGGGTTTTGTTACGGGGACTGGGGATTCTTGGAGGAGGTTTTCCAAACCCTACCTTTGTCCATTGCTTTCCTGCCGCAAAAACTGGATGAAACGGGAAAACAGAGAAGCATGACTATAAGTACTGTTTACATTCGTACTGTAGAGACCAGAATGAGTTACGATTTCAATGCATATCCAGAGACCTTTAAAACCTGATATTTAACCCTGAGAACATATCTGCAGATGCTTTGTTTTGGCTATGCAAACAAATCTTTAAGACATAATTTCACTTTCTCTGTATATAACAAAAAAAAAATCCATAAAGCTTATTCAAATATTCAAAAGAAAGGTGCTAGTTTAAGACATTAGAGATTTTTGTTCACAAACCCTTGTCTTTCCTGTAATTATTCTTAATATTATTTCACTTGGCTCATCTTTCACTGGCTACTTGGCTGCACTCTGGAAGAATAATATACAAGAAAATATCTTAATTGTGAAATAACATTAATAAATAATTCCTTTAAGTAAAAGGACAGCCATACTCATTTGTTAATGTCTGAAAAACATCGTTACCGTGATGAGATCATTTCAAAACTAAAATGTTTCTCTTTCACCAACAATAGATTTCACATTTAATTCTCATAAGAAAAATATTAAACTCTTTGCAAGTGCAGTGAGCTGTAAAACCCAGAATCAGTAAGAGATCCTGCTTCGAAAGTTAAGGTGTCTACTTGAAATATCTGAAATTAGCTCAATATCTAAGATCTATTGATCTGTGTCTGGAAGAGCTCTTGAAAAGGAGATTCAAATGAAGTCCTTCCAGGCTGGGCAAGAGATGGAAGCCTCTTTCTGTTATACCAGCGACTCTTTCACAACGTGTTCCTTATCCCTTGCTTTTGCTTCGCCAGGAGCATCATCTCGCTTCTCTGTGCTGGAAACGGGTGCAAGACCAAAGGCAGGGGCTGTCTCCACATCTGTCCCACTGTTCCCGTACATCTCGTGCATTTTGGTAGCAATCAGACCTTCCTTCTCGGGCGCGTCCTCTCTCAGGTCATCCTCGTCCTTGCTGTGCCTGTACATGTAGGACGCTTGCTTCACCGAGCGCCTCAGGAGGTACCTCCGGAAAGCCCTCTGGATTTTTGTAGCGCAGACTTCCTCATGTTTCCTTTTCAGAGTGGTGGTGATGGGTTCGTAGGAAACCTTTGAGGGGTTCGCAGCCATGAACTTCTCCTCCATGGTGGCCTTCAAGGCATCCATCTCTCCTGAGTCTCCCAGCACTTCCTTAGTCAGGGCAAAGAGGATATCCAGACAGTGGATTTTGTCCCCAGCAACCATTGGTAGATCCATGGTGATTAGCTTGATCTTATTCGGCTTGGGAATTTTGAGTGGCTCCTGTAAGGTGTCTACGAAGTCAGACAAGGTGCTGTATGCAATGAACTGGGTGGCGTCCGGGTCAAACTTCTCCCAAGTTTCATAAAACATTTCAAAATCATCTTCGCAGAGGGGTTCGCTGCTCTCCTCTGTGGCCACGTTGAAGTTCTCCAGGATGATGGCAATGTACATGTTCACCACGATGAGAAAGGAAATGATGATGTAGCTGCAGA